ACAAAAAGAACTTTGCAGATACTATAAAGTCCTATCCTGCAACTGTATGATCTTGGGTAAGTTACTTCTTTGTGCCTCAGTTTCCTCATTTAAAAAATGGGCAATTACAGCACTCACCACCCAGGATTACTTTACCATGAGTTAAAATATATCTAGCACTTAGAAGAGGATGTGGCACATAATAGGCACTTGTGATCGTGTATGTATAAACTCAAATAAACATTTTGGCAAATCCAGTGTTAGGTGCAGACAATATAGATGTGTGTAAGAATAAAAATCCTACAGATGAAAATCTATCCATTTATCTCATTTTAAATCATGCAACCAATAACCTTCCAGTGCTAAAAAAAAATCCCACTTCTTTCAGAACTATCTAGGCACATGACAACTAACAACTATTTATTGTGTTTTCTTTTAGCCCAATTATATAATTCCCAGTTGTAGGCACATTTTTCTGATTTAACATAACATTTGGAAAGAGTTGAGTGTTGGAGGAGGTAGTGCTCTTTTCCTGCACACAGAATGATCTCAGGGTCTTATTTTTCATGAAAAGCCTCTCATATCAGATGCAGAAAAGTAGCCCTTTAAAAACTTGAGTTCACAAAAGAATGTTCTAGTGACATGAACAAGCTGTCTTCCCTAAACATCTAGACATTGTTTTCAGCTAAAGCGTCCTTAAAAAAACAACCTTTAGTCATATTTAAGATGGACAGCTTAGTAAATCAAGCAACTCCCAATGCAGTGAAATAACAACTAGGCTATTTCGAGACCAAATGTGTATTTCATAAACAATATGCAAGTTGCAGCAATACCTCCGTCCACAAAGTCTGACCAAAATAGCCCCAACACTGATTCTTTTAATAGGTTAGATACCCAAAGAAGAGTTTCATTCTCTATCCCACGGAGGATAAAATATTCAGACAGACAGCTGATAGTATGAAGATTTCTTTTNTCTCTATCCCACGGAGGATAAAATATTCAGACAGACAGCTGATAGTATGAAGATTTCTTTTTAAAAATTTTCTTTAAGAACACTTTTTATTTTTTCTATACCAACGATTTTATTTTAGAGGCATTCTCTGAGATCATCCCAGGTGTAAAATAAGCTAATTAAACGCACACTACTTAGACACGGAGATTAGCTGGAGCTCAGGTTTTCCGAGCAGAGCATGAACACAAGTCAAGCCAGGCTGAGTTGCTGCACCTCCCGATATAACCCGAAGCCATCACAGAGATTCCCAGCTGGCTGCGGATGTCGATGCTTAGCACAAATGATTAAGCGACTCATAGCACTCCAGAGATTGTCACAATGCCCGGCCCGGGCTACCGGCAGGGACGGACTCAACTCCCGGGGCGCGCGATCCGCTGCAGCCAGAGCCAGGCTCACCCCGCAAACCCACCGCTCCGCTCTCTGGGAACCGCCTCTGCAGGCGAAGTGCGCCCC